TCCTTGGGGCGAAGGAAGTCACAGATTGCATCTACAAGAAGTCAGGTGGCATCAAAAGGAAGATTACTGTCATGAACGTGTCATCCCAATAGCAGGCGCCTGCAGGCAGAAGGACACAATACGAGGAGATGGAGTATTAAGCTGTCACCCGGCAGCAGCGCTACCAAAGAGGTGGTCCTGGCCTCTCACGGCCACTTGCCCCGTGCCCATGCGAGCCCATTCACCACTGCTCAGTCAACCAGACCAGTGAGCAGATTTGGATTAAAATGAACCTTTTCTTCCAAACTTTGCTCTCCACCCAGGCACACCAATAACTACGCCGGCCTAAGGGATAGGATCAAGCAGGAACAGAGAGATGGGGAGGCTGCACCATAAAATGTTTTTGCTATAGTTTCCCTAAGTGCATCCCTGACATATGACGCAAGCTGCAGGGATGTATTAACTCCAGAGGCAGCTGCTGAGGCTCACCTAAACATAACATAGTGATCCTAAACATTATTACAACTTTAAACCGTTGCATTAAATGGTTTTTCCAGATGGGTTTTTTGGGGGTTTTTTGGCACTCCCAAATGAGAATGCAAATGGATCCCCCTTAAGAAATAATTTTCTTGTAAGAGATGGTAATAGTCTAAGCCTTCAGTAACTGAGTTCACAGCATGACAGCCATCAGAGTCTTACAAATCATAAAAGCCTTGGAAGATTTAGTCAAAGAATGGAAGTTCAGTGGGGCTGGGAAAGGGAGAGCAGGTACACACACTAAGGAAAAGAGCTGAAGCGTTGCTGCATTATACCATAAGTAATGCTCTAATTTGAGGCCATGAGAGCACTTCACCGAGGCGTTACCCGAAATGAAGACGGTCTAGGTGTTTCGGATGCAGCACGGCTGGGGAGCCAGGCCCCTGAACCGGGGAGCGATAGCTTTAACTCCGGCTGTGCTCCAGAGCTGCGAGGCGACTGCAGGTAAGACAGCCAAGATCATCCTGTGAGCTGGGAAGTGTTTTCTTTGGGTTGATGCTGTTCCCCACGCCCGTGCGCACCTCTTCTAGTAACATGAGCCATTTCGAAAGCATCAGCTCACTCAGCTTAAAACATGAGAGATGAAAAGACCTCAGTAAGATAAAGGTAGTAACTAATAGCTTTAAGTTGTTTCCTTCTCAATTAGAGGAAAGCCATCCTTCATTTGCACTCATCACCCAGGGAGGCTGTCCCTGCTAACTGGCAGACTTGAACACACCATCAATTATCAATCTGGAAGCTACAAACACAGATACAGACTGTAAAAATCACCAAAATTGCCTAAGTAACAGGCTTTTAGTTGAGCAGAGACAGTGACAGTTCTCCCAAAATTATTCTCATAGTTTGGGAGCAGCTGCTAAATCACCTTCTGTGCTCCAAGAACATCTGCACGTTCTCACAAAGGCAGCAGGTCTCCTACCCCCAAAAAGCTGGAGGATCAGCAGTTCGTGGATTAGCTACTCCGGACACTAATATAACCCAAGATCTTGCTTCAAACAGGAGAAGCTTTCATGATTCCTGATCAAGAAGCTCTTCCAGACATTCTCACACCCCGAAGTAATTAGCATTTTAGTGGCAGTTCACAAGCCTAAACAGCTCAGCTGCTTCTTTTAATTAGAGTATTTTATGCAGCCATTACACCCCTGCTATTCCCTGAAATGAGACACAGCTCTGAAGTTCCCCTGTCACCGAAATACTCATTTTTGTGGCCCTGACAAAAAATAAAACCACCTTTAGTGCCAGCCAGCAAGCTGCCTACCTCTAGAACAAGAGAGCTCACCTTGCTTAATGCAGCCCTCCGAATACATTAAAAAAAAAAACCCAAACTCATCTGTTCAAGAAAAACATCAGTTTTGGTAGCAGCAAAATTTATTGTGCAAGTGGCTGAAGTGAGTGGATTTTGCTACTTTACATGGCTCTTACCACGCACATCTCACATTTCCACTGCGCAAGGGACAATCCTGGATCAGAACCAGAAACAGCAGGGAAAAAGCCCAAGTCCTACGTCCAGCAACTCCTCCACCCGTTCATGGGTGGGTGGACAGGTAGGGGAAAGCAACGGAGACTTCAAAGGTGCTGGAGCTTGCAGTTCAAAGGATGATCTACCCCGTGTGCTCCACCTGCCCTAGAGTGTCACTTAGAAGCCTTCTGGCAGCAGTGTTAATTAAAGGGGCAAAAGGGAGTAATTCCAGGTCACAGAGTCGACCCAGTGTGGGAAAAGGGAAAAAAACAAAAGCATCGCTCCCCGAGGGCACAGTGCTTCCCCTGCCCCTTGTCACAAGCACCGGGCTGTTACGGGTCAGGTTTTATGGGATCCCTAAACCAACCCAATTGTTGCATGGCGGCGAGCCACCCCAAGCCAGCCACATGTTTCTGCAACCTCCCTTCTGTAAGGACTAACGATCATGAGCCTGGTGACCCGGCGCAGTCCGCTGATTCAACAGAAAACTTCTTTTTTTTTCCCCTCCTTGGCTGGGTGAAGTTTTCGGTCGATTCTGTGAGCTGATTTAAATCACCAAATATTCACGTGATCCTTACATCTGGGACAGGGGAGCTAGCATGAAGACACAGCCCAGTGAAGGCAGATCCACCCTTTCAGCTGCAGCTCCCAGGCACATCTCTTCAATCCTAACCTGAAACCCATCCATTGAAGCACCTGCCTTCACCCGAGACACCCAAAAATCAACGTTTTGAAACAGAAGGCAGTGTCGTTCCCCGCTGAAGCAAAATACTCTGTCTTGCTCTGTGGCTTTTCCTCTTTTACATTCGAGTAGAGGAACTGGGCATGGCATGAAGTTCAGCTGCATACACATCACGCTCTTTAACGCTTCTTCATCTGTTTCCGCACCTCTGCCAAACTGCTGCAGCCTATGTCAGAGCCAGGCATAACGGTCCCGAGGGGCCAAAACGAATTTTGCAAGCTATGGGAAAGAAAGAAAAGCAACAGGCATGTTCGCACCAGCTGAAGTAACAAGTAGCTCTGCGATCCTCTAAGATTATTTCCATCCTCCATGAGAGGTAGCGGGGATGTAAATCTTCGTAGGATGCAGCTTATTCCTGAGAGGGATGGAGTCTGTTTAGGTGACGGAGATGAGGAAGTGCTCCTTTACAGAGCAAACAGGCAGGAACGAGCGCAGACACCCACAAGAACCATACGAGCTTCAAGGCAACATGAGCCAGCAAGCCCTAGGACGGACATACAAATCCTGGCATGCATTTCCAAAAAAAAAAAGGGGGGGGGGGCGCGGGGGGGGGCAAAACAGGAGGGGGGGGAACAAGTGGGAAAAGTGACACTTGATCTAAGAACAGATTTCCCATGGCTTCCCTTGAACACTGTGCGATTTGTTCTCTATGGTACTACCTGATTTGAAGTCTCATAATTCTTTAATTAGTAATTCCTTTCAGTGCCATTAGTTCATTAACACACTGAATCAGGAGATGTTTTACATACCACCTCGAACATGCCAGTTCTTGCCTCCCTTCTGGAAACAGGCTTTGGCGAGAGCATCCTCCTCTCACGAGCCGTGTACTGCCATGCACAACCCCATCCTGCACCGCCGAGCAGGTGCAAATCCTGCAACTACACCCCTACAAACACTCCCAGGAGCGTTTCAAAGGAAAAAACAACAAAACCCAACCTAGCTGCTACAGCCAAGCCCCGACGGATGTTTAGGACCAGATCGTTCCTCCGCAGACCCTTGACCAAAGCTGCATCTCTAAACACCACATGCAGTAAAACCCAAGCAGTGATGTACAGCTGCTTTAATGCGGCTGCACAGGCATGTATTTGGAAGGCCACGTACGCAGCAGTGCTCGAGAACTTCAACGTAAGACAAGGTTACTCACGGGTCAAGTTGCATTTCTACGTTATCTACCAAGCTGCAGGCGGCTGTGCCGAGGAATTTTAAATTGTCCATTTTCTGGCTTAAGGATTAAGAGCTCTGGGATAGTATTAGGACTAGGTAGTGAGGACAGATCACGGACAAGGTTTAGCTTGGGTGCTGATGAATTAATGTAGTGCTCCCTATCCCGTCTGGTGACCTAGCAAGTAAAGCATTCATAGGGGAGTGAGACTAAGCGGAGCACTGAGCACTAATTTACACACAGGGCCTCTTTTTAATGGAGATGACAAACAAAAGGCAACGCTTAACACTGGAAAAAAGTAAAATCAAGGTATCTACTGTTGAAGGTGTTCTCAAAGTTCAATATATGAGCCATTCCCAGCTGGGACAAGGAGCTACAGGGCACATGTCAACGTAGGCAGTCACCTCCAGTCACCTGAGGACTTCAAAGTAGAAGCGAGGGGAAGGGAGGAGGTGGCCATCTGCACCCAACTGAATGAAGCTCTAACAAAACTTCCTGAAGGTTTTAACCTAATGGACCTGGAGACAGAAAGCTGAAGCCCTCTCTCTCATTCCCCGCAGAGGTAAACCAGGAGATAACTGTCATTTAGCCTTCCTCCATATGAGACTTCTGCCCACAGCTGCTGAGCACAGCATCAACAGCACCTAACCTGCAGCTGCTAACAAGCTCATCTCCGACACAAGCATATATATAGTGTGCCTAGATAATAAAAAGAGGAGGGGATCAAGGGACAAGACTTTGTAAAATAACTCCTAATGCCAGAGATATGGGCCCCCTACCCAGACAGCTTCCTCTCTTGTGTGTTGTACAGATGATCTCTTGTGTTGTACAGATGATCTCATGCGGATGTCCTCAAAGAAGGAAGAGGACATCAGGTCTAAAACTCCTTGTTAAGAAAGCTCCAGCTTGTGCTACTTTGGTGCACGAAGTTATCTGGCACAGCCTGAGAAAGAATAATTTAGCAGCAGCTTGTGAAATTGGCTGCACTCTGTTCTAAATTTATGCAAGATATGGTGTATTATCTTGGATACCGGGCCCACGTCTTCATTAGTTGAAGAGGTCCCTCGAGGCGGGAACCAGTTTTCAGGCCCAGGATCCCGCAGCGCCGATGGGCAGCTCACCAGCACACACGCGCGGCGTGGCTCCCGGCGTCGAGCAGCCTCCCGGCAAAGCTCCTGGGGCAGAGCGGGACGATTCCACCGGGAGCTCCTCCTCAGAGCTGCAGGCATCGGGGACAAAGATCACCGGCTTGGTGCAAGCAGAGGAAGCATTTTCGGGCGTTTGTCCTCCTCGTAGCAAGTAACCGCACCAATAGCTAGAGAGGTTGCGCACACACACGGTTATTTGCATCGTCGTTATGACCCTCCACACTGGAGACTATCCGTTTTACATTAAAGCCTCTTTAATCAGGAACAATTAAAGCATCCTCATGTTGCACAGCAAAAATACGGAGCGATATAGATTTTTTAAGCAGATTTACCTTTAAACAATTTTTCATGGATGCCCAAAGCACCTCATGTGACTTTCTAACAGTTATCACATAAAGAGCTCTCATTCCATAATCTTCCATAATACTTTAAGATGAAAAGTATCCCACCCTTCCCATTCCTCCCTAGTCACTTCACTCTTCGTCCTTCTCTATTTTCACAGCAAATAAAAAGATTACAACGCACCAAGATTTTTCTCAGCAAAAAATGTCATTTGACGGCACAAGAACTGAAAACTGTAATAACTTACGCAACCGAGTGGTTTTAACATAAGCCAAGAGTTTCCGAGATCAGCTCTTACCTGCGCAGCACAGAGCCTTTATTTTTGAAGTGAGGAAAAGCTGCGCTGAATCAGAAAACAGCATAAAGAAAATACGTTTCAAGTGCAGTCATGCTACCCGCTACCAGCAAGCCAATTTTTAATTTCCCCAGATAATTCTGAAATATCTTCCTTAAATACTGCAACAGAAACAGCAATTCAGGAGCATTTATAAGCTTTGCCTCCAAGTTTGACAATGTCCTATCTAGACATCGGCAACATGTAATAAAAGGGCTGGCTTTATGACTTTTCCACCTATGACTAAAAACCAATACTCCTTTCAAAAAATAAAGTAGGGGTCAATCACGAATACCTGCAGCATTTGGGTACCAATTCTGCCAGCACAAGTTTTACTAACCATAACCTTCATTTAACACGCAATCCTGTACCCATTTTCTAACCTCAGCTGCTGTTTTCTGCGATCGGCACCGAGGATGGGCACAGCCAGACCCACAGCCCCATGCATCCCAACCCAAATTAAACACCCAATCTTTAGCAATAAATGATCAGAATGCAAAAAACAAGCTACCCTGAAGCCAGGTGAATCTCACATTTCATCTAAAGCACTTTGGTTAAGTCTGTGTTTCAAAAAGTAATTCTTAAGGACGTGTAGACACGGGTTTTGCAAAATTTAAGATTCTGCAGAGATAACTGAGCTTTTCTTACGATGAAAGGGACAATGGATTTTGCAAAATTCAAAAGCATTCAAGTACAGCATAACCAACAAAGCTCTTCAGAGACCATCTCGGCTAATTAAAACCTACAGATGTCCGAGCTGAGCGAAGCCATTCACAACTTTTTACATGCAATCCCTAAATGGATTAATTGAAAATGTAATGATAGAAGAATTTATAGTAAAAACACATGCAATGTCAAGATTTACTTAATTATGTCCACGTCTGAATGTTTCTAAAGCATGCACGCTACCTGTGGATTTGTCTAAGGCTTCTTAGGCACCCAGCCCTGGGTCAGAGTTTGCTGGAGAAGCTGCTTCTCCAACTTAGTGAAATATTAAGCATGACGCCTTTTCATGTTTTAAATATAATCAGAAGTGATTGTATATACATTTTGTGATGTGTTCCTCCACGTTTTAAGAGTATATTGCCAAGAGAAAGTATTTTGCAAGGTCAGCTATTTCATCAGTTGTCTTCACTTTTATACAACACCGCCTTTGTTCTATTTCATACCACGTCTTATTAATCTTTACCGTACACCGATCACAACCAACAGCACTCTCAAAGGGGAAACCCAACTGGAAATCCCCAACAGGATCTCCGGACCTTGAATTCTGATTCATTTAATCAAACTTGCTATAGCCCGAAGTACTTGGCCTTGTCTACATAAAAAGGCTTTTTCTTCTTCTTGTTTAAATGGACACGTACATTTGAGTTGACTTATACCAAACGTGCTTAGAGAGGCTTCTTAACGCATCAAGGTGAAAGGATACAAGGCCTTTTACAAATATAAGAAACCAAAAACCTTTTCCTAGGAGAAGTGAGGATCTGTGCACAGATAAAGAACAGAGAAGGCTGTTTTCCAAGCAAAAGTGGTTACTCTTTTGTAGTAACCACTTAGTGTACATAAGGTGGGTAATACGAATAGGAGTTGCCTCCTCCAGCAAGCCTGCAATGCTGCGCACTATCTCGCCACTGCAGAGCCCTACAGCAGCCGGGAAAACGGCATCACTTCACGACTGTAAGGACCATCTTTGTCACAGGTTGGGTTAGCTGGTGCTGTGGCACTTCGGGTAAAGACAACAGGTATAAAACTGGCTGAGAGCCACAAATGCAAATCGCCAAGGCAATCCATGGATGATCCTACTGATAGGAGGGAGTTACTTTCTACTCTCCTGCTAGAAAATAAATTCCCTGTTATGGCATAGAAAACAGCCCTGAAAAAGGAAAATCCCTTAGGACTTATCTTCCTTACTGAAAGGATTGGGGTAGTCAAGCTTTGACTGGTATTGCTGCTTCCACAGGGAAAAAGCCCTCCACCTGAGAAAAGCCTCCTCCCACTCAAAACACAACACCAAGAGGGGCTTCCTCCTCTTCTATTTCCATAACCGAAAAGTCGGTGAATGGAAGAAAGGAGTCGGCACAGCAATTTGGGATGTCCAGGGAGGCATGCACCCTCAAACAGAAAAATATGAGCACTCTTTAGGATCCTCCGAGCAGCGACGGGAATTTGAGATGTGCCGAAATATGGAAACACGCACAGCGAGGCCATTTACTGCACAACAGGCACAGAAACAGGCCTGTCGGCCAAGAGGAAAAAGAAATGTTAAGGCTACAGAACAGAGCTCAAGCAAAAATTAACATTTCACCATGCAGTTTCCATAAAATTAATGCTTTGCAGTAATATTTAATTATGGATACACTCCGATTTCCACTTTGATCATTTTAATTTCACATTACTTTACCTGGCATTTACCTGATCTGCTAGATTTTAAGGAGTCACCAAAATACATACTGAATGATCAGCTTTTGGTTTTACTGCTATTGGGTCTATCATACTCTTGCTGCAGAAGGAGAGGGACTCTTATAATCCTTAAAGTTAAAAATAATAATCACATTTTTTCCTCCAGTGGTGTTAATCCCCTTCGCTGCAGACGTCATCAGAAGAGCACTTGATTCTAGAACAGAGTTTCTATTTCATTACATCTTTTAAGAGCATAGAAACCCGTTCACATGCTCAGAACAACAGACTGAATAACAGTTATTACGTGTGTCTGTCTCTGACCCCAGCCGATTCGCACGAGAGCCGAGGTCTCACCTGGGGCTTCAGCACACAACTGGAGGATATCTCCTCCTCTATCTCAAGTCCTGAAGCACAGCGACCAACAGCAGCCCCCCAACCTTATTTTACCTTTTTCCTAGCACAGCCAAGCTACAGGCACATCTCCTCCACAACCTCCCGGAGACAAAGCAGGAGGAACAAAGTGTTTCTTAACTTCCTAAAACCATCACAGCAAGAGCCACGAGAAACAAGGTTTGAAAGACATGCTGAGCGAGCAGCTAAGCTTGTTCTTTTTAAGTTTCAGGTACCACCATTTCTCTTCTTTTGCCATGAACCAAGCGACACAGGCTTGGTTGAACACCACCGGGCAAGCCACCGTCTCCGTACTGCAGCAGAGCATCCCTGGGTCAGCCTTCACACTCTACCTTACGAAACGTTGACCGCTTTTGGAGGACAGTAATTTTTTAACACTGCTCTGGCTCTAAGGGTGAAGCATGTACACAGATTTGGGTGCAACCACGTAGAGTGTTGCAATGCCTTGCTGCCCGAATTAAAAGATTCGGCTCTGAGCCCGGTGCTTACACGCTTCACACGATAAATAACGAGGCAGGCACTCAAAACGTCTCTGCTCATCCACGCCAGCCAGGGGGAAGAGCTCAGAAGAGCCATCTGCCCAAGATCCTGCCTTCTCCTCAAATTTTTGGGGCCTCTCAATCACCAAATTAACCGCCTCATGACACAGCCTGCGACGGCTTCCGGAACTCACGCACTTCAATAACTCCTTTGAGCAGTGACAACTGACTTGCTCTTTCTTTGGAGATGTGTGGATGATGGTGGAGCATAAGAAATGGGCATTTATGACATCTGGGAAGAGAGAAGAGAAATTTGGGATTCTCATCCCCAAAAAAGCTGTGGCAATCCAATAGCTCCTTAGTAAAAGGAGCAAATGACAATGCCAGGTTTTCAAGTGCCTGAATTTTGCCCCTCTACCCCACTCCCTGCACCAATTTTGGCATGGGGCCATGCCAAACCATCTAATATCCCTACAGAATGAACCTCCATGTCTCTATTTCCAAGCAGATTCAAATTTTCAAAGGGGAAAAAAAATAATGTATACAGATCTCAAGAGGACAGACACCTGGAACAAAGGAGTTTGCATAAAAAGCAGTACTATGAGAATTTGTAAGAAGATGTGAAAAAGCAAGCAAGTTCGTATTTTTATCCCAGCAGAAGAGCTGGAGCTGAAAACACAGAGATAGGAGGGGAAATTAAGGAAGAGGATGCAAGGACCTAAAAAAGGAGAATCAACCAAATTCTTTCAAACATTTGAAAACCCACGGAGCTACCCCAGCAGCTGGGTGCAAATCCGGCCGCTCTTAGCACAAGCTCCCTAAGAAATCAAAGGCAGCAGCTCGTTTTGCCATTTTCTGACTCATTTCTTGCATTCTGTACTTGAGCCATGTCAGGGAAACAGAAAAGCTTTCTCCAATATCAGCCCGAATAGGAAGGCGACTATTGACCCAGCTTTAGCAGCTGCGGGCACTTTTTATCACCACATAAGTCAAATACACACGTTTAATACGCTGGATTCTTCTGCTCGGGACGCGCTCCACAGGTGCTTTTGCCAGTTCAGCTAAGGCAGCATTAACATGCATGCAATTGGATTTTATGTTTTTGGAGTAGGAAAGGCTTAAGGGACTAAAACAGGGATTGTCCCTTCCCTTGGCTGATGGAGCTGTCCCTGGTATAGTTTAGAGGGTCAAGACATCACACAAGTTTAGTCAAGACCCCTCTTAACTTGCCTACAT